GGTTATACATATAAGCTGCATATAAACATAAACGACGTGTGCCCCTGGAGGTGACTGCCCACAGGTGATGGCGATGGTCGTGGCAGTGAGGGCGTGGCAACGGCAAGTGGAGAGCTCCTGCAGGTGGCTGTGGCAGTGTCAATGGCGAGGAGTAAGGGGTAGCAAGCACCAACCAGTAGTCAGTGACCACCCGCAGATTCCACCGGCAGCGGCGGCCAGAGACAATCGGTGACTGCGCACAGACACCACTGGCGGTGCTGGCGGCAATTGCTTGCAGGCACCGCCAGCAGTGTCTGCTGCGCTTCTTTCAGGGCGTGCACAGCCAATCTCACGGGGAGCATGTGCACCTGTGTGCACGCCCTATGCATCGCCGATGCATATAAAGCAGTTTAAGTGATTGGAAACTAGTTCAAATCTATAATACAACAGAAGTTCAGTGCACATAAACCACTTTCAAAATGGCTGAAACTGGTTCAAGATAAATCTGGATGGATGTAGTATCAGATTTAACTGATTCAGGGTAAATCAGTTTATTGAACTTCTGTCCCTTATTCAAATTAACTCACAGTCCCCCAGCATCCGAGGATGCTTTGCACTCTCCCCAAAACCCACCTTACAGGGCAGGTTAGTCTTGGCCCAAGCTGTCTGCTCCAGCCAAACAGGGAGGCATACTATAGTGGACTGGGCCACTGCAGGTACGTGGCTGCATTTCTAGAATCAAAAGTGAGTATCTGTTCACTTGCTCCTAAATTCAATCGTTGCATCTTAGACTAACCTACAAAGATTGAATCAATTCAGCCTCAGGCTTTTTGACTGTCTATACTAGCCTTAGTGAGTAACTGTCAGTACTGTTCTACAAAAGTCCCCGAAACAAATGAGCTTTTTTTATTTATAAGAAAAAAAAAGCCATACTTATCCTCACTATATTCTCATTTACACTGGTCAACAGTTTAAAAAACAAGCAAGCAAGAAAACAAACAAAAATACAATTTACTTGCATATCTCACACCCAAAATATCTGTGTCATTGTATATTCTTCTACTCACCTTCTTCTCAAAACCACTGACATAGCTTTCCATAGCAGAACGGAGGCTATAGATATCGTTCTCTATCTTCTGGATCTCATGCCTGATGATATTTAGATCCCCTGATAGTTTCGCAATACTTGCATCACACCTAGAATCAAAGTGGAGGCTTCTTCAAAACAGAGTAGCAATATATAGTAGTTTTTGCAATTGATGGCACCAGCTAATCTCATTTTGCCACTATTCAATCAGCCACAGTCTTTCGGTGGCATCTTGACTGGTGGCAGAGTTGCAGTTAATGTGGTACAAGAGTCCTGATCCCAATCGACCTTCCAGCACTGATTGCCTACTGAAAAAAACTTGACTAATTCTGCACTTACTAAAGTCTAGGGCATTTGAAGGTATTCAGTACATAATATGATATGGTCTTTATATAACAATAGCAAATTAGGTCTGATATAAAGAACATATCATGTAAACAGCAGTTTTCTCACCTTCCTCAGCTTCAAAGGTAGGGAAGTCAGCATGGTGTGGGTTGGGGTGCCTCATGCTTTGCACAAGGTAACAATTTGCAATCTAACAATTAGACTTACATGACTTCTAAAATGCATGCACATGGGATAATTTGGACTCCAGGTGCTGCTGTGTTTTACCAGAAGTAGTTGCCTAGAAAACACACAGAGAAGATACACTTCTGTAACCGATATCTTAGCTTGTAACATCTGGTTTCAGGTGGATATTAAGAAAGATCTGTTATACAGCAGGTGCTGGCAGAAGATTTCTGGTTTACAAACAGTGTTTGTCATCTTCTATTTAAACTCTCCCAGTTGCATCTGCCAACATCTCTTTTCAACCTCAAAATGGCCACATTAATTATTTGACATTTGCTGAATAATGGAAAATCTGAAAACTGTTCATCTAAGATTTCTTTCTTTAGAATCTATTTTATATTTTGTAATATAAAATGAGTCTGGGGAGTCGCATCTTCTATCTCTGCTCTCCTCCTGTTTAAAAAGAGAAGGCCAATGAACTCACACAACAGACACTGCTCCACAGCACACACTGGAAAGTAAAGTTTACGTAAACAGGCTCTCCTCAGCTGCTACACTCTTGTGTGTATAGTAGCTAAGTTGCTTTCATTGCCTTTGAGTTCTCCTGTGATCCCTGCAACTTCTGACCCTAACAGTAATCATCTATTCCTGTATTAGGAATACTTATAGTAAGATTACTGAAATAAGATGTTCTTAGAGAGACTAATACTGTACAATTAAATATTAATAAAATAAAAATGGAATAAGGAAAACTGGACTGTACATGTCTAAATACATTATTTTCCAAAGACTAAACCAAGTACAGCACAAAAGGGCGTGTCAGTATTGTTGACAGATAAGGAATCAGGAAGAAGATTTTGGATTATGCAATCAAAATAGGTGAAGTAGAAGATGACAACAAAAAAGCTGGTCTGATGATTCTTCAGAACATTTAGATAAAGTAAATCAGGAAATGTTTTATAGATAATAGAGACTTTGTCAGAAAGCCAAAACTTTGATCAAAGGGAACTATTGATTCAGAGAACAATTATATAATAACCAAGAAAGTGAACATGTGTTTAGATAGAGAAGGGAATGTAGTTTGTTATCTTTGTCAGAAACTTTTATGGACACAAACCCCAGAGCCAAGAAAATAGAGCACATAAAATAAACGTTCCTATAATGCCTAGATTCTAAGTTGCTCAGGAGAGTGTATGTTAGGACAGGTAGCCAACTTCAGAGTGTCTGGGGACCATGTGCTGCACTGGTCACAGGTTCCAGGCTGTAGGCTCAGGAGCTCCCCAGTGTCAGGGGGTGATGGGGTCATGTCTGAGTGGAGCATACTAGATTGAGGAGTTACCAGACTGTAGCCAAAGTTAAGCCAGGTATTGATCTGAGTACGGGATATCTGGCTGAAGGTTGAGAGAAGTGTGTGATTAGGACAAGCAGTTGATCCAGGCTGGGAGATCCAAGATGAGAAAAGGAACAATAAGCAATAAGCAAAGTGTTACAAGCCAAAGGCTTTCAAAGCACAAGTTTAGAAGTTCCAAGCAAGCCAGAGGCATAAGTCTTCTACTGTCTGCTCTGAAATTATATACCCAGTGTGGGTGAGGCCTCCCTGAAGGATGACTCTGCCTGATTACCTCCATTTGGGGTCTGGGATGGGATCAGCCCCAGCTGGTCCATGGCTCACTACACAGGGGTCAGGCCTCTACTGCTGTCACATGGGCAGCATGAGTCCTTTTCCCACTGCACAGGCAGTAGTTCACCAGACCCTCTCCCACTGCTCTGCTCTGCCTCATCCCAGAGACCCTGGTTGCAGGAGGAAGATGCAGCCTTCAGGCCAAAAGCTAGACAGCCCTACACTAGGAGAAGAAACTTGAGGCACGATGGGTCTAATTCACTATGAGTGCATGTAGGTACAACTCTGATCGGGTTGGCAGAATTGTTTCAGCCCTTATATAGGGTTGAATTTCACCATATAACTCTGACGATCATGATCTGCTGGAATACAGAAGGCCAACGAAATTTTAATTATGTTGCAAAAGCGTGGGGTAGATTTCTAAAAGAGAGCAGTAAGGAGATGTACATCTGAAATGAAAGTAACATAATTTTGTATTAAATAAGTAGGTAGCAAGGGATTTTCAAAGCCATGTAATGGAATTAGGTATCTAGCTCCCACTGAGTTCGTAATTCCCTTAGGATCCTTTGAAAATCCCAGCTCTAAGTTTTCTGAAAAAGATTAATAACATTTGAAAGAAGAGGATTAAGAGTTTCATGTCAATAAGAAATCTTTTAAGTTATAAGAAAACAATAATCCAAAAAAAATTAGACATACAGGCTATTTATTAAATGGATTTTAAAGAGACAGTAACAACAGGCTGAGGGCCAGTCTCTTATAACTGAGTGAAACCCACCAGTTCTGCAGAAACAGTGGTAAACTAGCTACAGTACTGCTTAATGAAACCTTGGGGTCCATTACTGGCTCTGCCCTTCTGAATGACCTTCAATAGGTCATTTTGCCTGCCTGTTCCTCAGTTTCTTTGCCTGTGAAACAGCGTAGGAGAGGGATAGGACATTGAGCAGGCAACATATGGCTATCCAAAATGGAAAGAGGAAGGGCCTAGCTAGCCCATGAGTTTTAAAAGGCCAGCACCCAGGGCAAGCACCCTTTGGTAGTTTGGCATTTCCCTTTGATGGAAACAGAGATACTGAATGTGGGCAGAATGGGAGTGTGTAAAGTTGGGAAGAAATATGGGGTGAATGTTGTTTTCTTTTATGGAGGTAGTGAATGTAGATTAGGAAGTGAGGTTGGTAGGTATGCTCTCTTTGGTTAAGAGATAGGGGAGTGGATTGCTTTTAAATTTGGATTTTTTTGGTTGGAGGCATTTGTTTTGTTATAGTTTCCAATTTTATATTTTATCCTGTTTTTATGAGTTTTCTTTTCTTTTATTGTAAACCACTCTGAGCCTTTTTGGAAGGGGCAAATATGTATAATAAAAATTAATTTTATGTACAAATAAGGTATATACATTTGGGCATGCATGTTTTGGAAATTTGCCCTACAAGTGTACCTTTGAAAAGAAAGTTGGATAGTTGGATTTGTGAAGTTTTACTGGAGTGAGAGGACAGCTGATTTAACTGCTTATTTAGTTCAGGGTTTATAAAGAGGAAAATAACATCTGTCTAATGTGAAGTTTCTGTTTCTGAGAGAAACAGGAAAAACTAAACATTGTACATATAGTAGTGAAAAAAGCTTTGAAAGATATATAATTAAAAAAAACTCTCAAGATTTAAGTACACATATATAAATAAGAAGAACCTCAAAAAATATATAGTTAAGCATTTAAATATAGGAATAACATAGAGAAAGAGTCTCAAAGATTCCTACTACGTGTTTAAGACAAAGTGGGCAGTACAATGATGGAATAGTCTCTAGTATAGGTTGTAAAAACTTCTGAAAGACCTAGTTACTGGCTCTCAATTTATAAACCAGTTTTTGATTGGTTGTAATGGATGATGCTTCTGATAAAGTTCTGCACTTTTTGATTTACTTTGATGGACAGAATTGCATGAGGAAAAAGAACGGCAAGAATTTAACCTTCAGCATTATGTGTAAAGTCCATCTGCTTGTTCAGTCTTTTGCTGATGGGAGTGAGGATTATGTAATTATATTCATGGAGGCATCTGTTTTGTTAATGTGTATTGTCTTGTTTTGCTATGTTGTAACATATGGCCTTGTGCCCCAAGTCACTTGTGCATGGGTTTATTTGAAAAATTAGAAAATAATCAGAATATACAACTTTCTAAAAGCAAACATCAGTTTGAGAGAGATGCAATGATAACTGAGGCACTGGAGGTATTTTTTAAAGACATCATTGCCATGCTATTCAGAAATACTTGTATAGTTTAGAAAGGCTTAGATTATTTGATGACCTAAATACTGGTTGATATTGAGACAGTACTATACCATGCAAAGAACAAGAATGAGAAGTTATGGAAAAATGTATTTGAATTACAAGAGCCAATGCAAGCTGTATGTCCAAATGCAGAAGGAGGAATTATCTGTCATAACAGAAGGTCATGGTCCATTCCATCCTAGTTAGTTTTAGGTTAAAGGGCGCTAAGTTTTAAGTTTAATGGCAAACTACACTTATGGGTAAGCCACTGTTTGTTTGCTTTTTTATTTTTTAAGCTCTATGTTTAAATTCTGTATGTATAAAATAGAACATGTAAAAGTATGGCTATGTACATTTGTCCCCACCTACACTAGGTTATAGAAATTCCAGTTTGGATTCTAATCATATTGCATTCTTCTTACAGTGGAGATCAAAAAATATGACAGATGAAGCTAGTATTTATGATTATAGCTATGCTTTGTTTTTCAATATTGGGTTACTTCTTATTTTGATGGTCCCACACACTATTAATTAAAACTCAGCATATCTAGAGAGGAAATTTAAGTAGCAAGCAAAATGCAGCTTTTGCTTATAAGGTATAAATCACTGGTATCTGTACCATACTTTAACCAATAGCAATCATTCATGTAAAACTCCATTACAAATTGACTGTTTGAGTGCAGCTAGTATAGCCAGTCCTTGTGCTGCAACGTCAGTCAGTTTTGCTGAGGTTTAGAAGACTTGTTGTTTGCTCTTTTTTTAAATAAATGGAATCCTTGGACTCTGTTCCTAGAGCAGGATGTCAAACCCACTCTTTGTGAGATGACAGTCAGTTACATGGTACTGATTATTGCTGCCTTTCATAATAGATATGACATCATGGAATGGATAAAGCAGGAGAAGGAAGAAGGAGCTAACTGAAAAGAAGAAAATGTTTTTTTATAGATTAAAATACCTTTGGATTAAATTGTATTCTCCTACATATAAAGCCATGGAAGGGCAGGATTTAGATGGTAATTCCTTAATATCCACAGAGTTTTTGAGGCATTCTTCTGTTCAGCAGTCTCTGTATTTCATTGCCTTGTGATAACAACTCTAGGGATCATTAAACACTGTCTTGAGCATAAGTGTGGACACTCTGCTAAGAGATTCCATACATCATACCAAAGAAGCAATGTGATGAGTCTATCCAGAAAGAGGGAGGTCCTGGAGAAACTCATAATGGTGAAGCCAACCAAAGCAGTTCTGCTGGTGAGTCAATCCAGAAAAATAAACTGTCTCATAATCAACAATGGTCTGAGTATTATGGTTCTTGTACAGATTAAAGTAGGCCACAGAGAAAGTTCACTGAGAGGCCACAAAATAATGAGGGACACAGTATTTCAGTATCGGTCTTGCCCATGTTGTATACAGAGGAAAAATCACCTCCCAGATTACACTCCCTGATACCTTCTATATACAAACGAACAGATGCATTGTATATACAAGCATTAGTCTTGTTTGCCACAGAATTGCACTGGGAGTTCACGTTGAATTACTTTGCTAGTATTATCACACAATTCTTTTCAGAATAACTGTTTTTCAGGAAACTTCAACAGGTGTGGTCTTTATTCCTTGTTCCTAGATATATAACCATGCATTTGGCTGTATAAATTTGTTTTGTTTTGTGTTTGAATAGGCCCAGGTTGCCAAGCAATCCACATTGCTCTGTAGCATTCCCACACTGTCAACCACTGTGCGGTCCACACGTTTGGTCAGCTGTGATCCTAGTTAATTCATATCTTTCATTAAAATGTTGACTAGTGTCAGGCCTAGTATTGATCCCTGTAGAACCTCACTAGCGAGTCCCTCATTCACTGATGATAACCTTGCTTTTTGAGATTTGTCTCTTAGCCAGTTCTTCATCTACTTGATGTGTGATTTATTTTGTTTCATATTATATAATTTTTATTATTACTTTTTAATCGGGATGTTGTGCAGTACTAATTCAAATATGTTACGAAAGTCCACATGAATTACACATACATTTTCATCAACCAAACTTGCAACCTGAGCCTTTTAGGTTTATATGTTGCCTTGAGCCTTCCAGGGAAGGCTTATGTCTTCCCTTGCACCCTGTAGATTTCTACAGTATGCCCATCACGTACTCACATAAAAATACTGGAATAAACTTCACAACTGGAAGGAATCTACCTCTTTTGCCTCTAAGATGCATTCTGTCTCTGGGAGTGAATGCAGATATCTTAAACAGAGGACATGGACACACATACATTTGAAGCACTCTAATTTGGAGTGCTTCAGATTTGAAGGGCTTCAGTGACCCACAGACGTACAGTCTCTAACTTTGCCCCCTTGTCAGAGTGCTTCAAAATTGCAGTGGTGGAACTCTGCAGCCAGGAGGAATGATACCTAGTCCTCCAGCATCCTACAATGCTCTGCTCCCCTTCTTCCCTCACAGTAGGTGTGCACAGCTAGTGAGTGCTCTCCTGTGTACTTGCCAAGTCTGGTGGCCTCTGGCCTCCCAATAAGACTGGGGCCTTGGAAGACCAGACTCAGGGACCATGAAGTGCTCTGGAAGTTGATCTTCTCAGACTCCAGAGTTTGCCAAGGACAGCAGAGCACACTGAGGACTATTCATTGTCTGTCTGCCCTGCTTTCTCAGATTTCTTTTCTCAGAAGAGCACTGTAAGGTGTCAGAGCAACTCCCTGTTGCACTTCATAAAATGTATAGATGTTGCAGAAAGCACTTGGAGAAAGTGCCAAAAAGCCCCATTAAAGCGTCTGATCTATACAGACGTTGGGCAATCTGGGTCCAACTAACACGATGCCACTTCTGGGCATGTGCTGGGTTCAGCGGTGAGGCGCGCAGATTTTAAAACATTTTTTTTTAACACCTCCAAGCATTAGACACTTTTAAAATGCTTCTTTGACTGTGAATGTCTGTATGCTTACTGTTTTAAGTGTTTCAGAGGCATTTGAAACATTTCAAATGTTACATCTATATAGGGCTGGAGACTAGCACCACTACTGTGCCATAATTTAGGAACAGAAATGAAGAACTGTGTTGTATGTTACTGAAAATGCAGAGGAGTTTATGTGGGAACAAGTGATTACAAAAGTTGCAATATAGATATCACATAGAAGATAACATGTCTAAAAGATTAAGTTTTAGGGACAGAACTGAAGCAGACAGATGTAGGCATTTTTAATGTGTACCATATGATTTGCTCACATATGAACTCTTCTGCTCCTTTACACTAAGCATGTTTTATATTACTTTGCTGGGATACAAGGAGCCTCAAAATAAGAATAAAATATATTTATACCCACTTTAAAGCTCTAATGGCACTCAATAATGAAGAAGTGCAAAGGGGAATTGGATCCATCATGTTTTACTTACCTAGCCACCCTTCCACGCAAGTCCCCAAATCCTTGCAGATACTTACAGTCCAGACTTTGAACAGCAAAATTAGTTCCTGTAGTGGTATGATCTCTGGTTCTTATTTGTTTTTCCAAAATCTGTAAATCCATAGGCACACGATGTTAACGTGTTCAATTTACCATTTCATTATTTATCATTTATTTTATTATTTTTTAACAAATATTAACAATACTTTCCATTACTAGGGGCAAGTAGAGTAACAATTGCTATCTAAATCATACACCAAAACCACATTTTAAAAGAGCATGGTTAAAGTTCAGGTCCAAGAACTAAAAAATTAGGAACAGAATCTTAGACAAGTAGGACTGGAAGGGACCTCAGGAGGTCATCTAGTCCAGCCCTCTGCTCCAGATAGGCTTACCTTGACTAAACCATCCCAGTCAAGTATTGCATGGAAATTCCACAGCCTCTGCGGGTAACCTGATCCAATGCTTAACTGCCTTCAGAGTGAGAAAATTCTTCCTACTATCCAATATAAATTTCCCTTGGTGCAATCTAAGACTTAAGTCCTTCTCCAGTCTATAAATAGTCTATAACTGTCCTCTCTATAATTGCCCTCCAGGTATTCGAACAATATTATCAAACCCCCTCCTTCTCCCTCTCCCAAACTTCTCTTCTCCAGGTTATAATCCTAGATCTTTCAGCCTTTCCTCATAAATCATGTTTCCCAGGCCCCTAATCATTTTGTTGCTCTCTGGTGAACTCTTTCCAATCTCTCCACAATTTTCTTGAAGTGTGGTGCCCAAACAAGACACAGTACTCCAAGTGAGGCCTTGATAGTTTCAAAGTGGAAGAATCACTTCCCTTGGTTTGCTAGAGACACTCCTATTAAAACAGACCAGTGGGATACTGACTTTTTTGCAACCAGGGTACACTGTTGGCTTATATTCAGCTTGCCATCCACTGTCCTCTTTTGCTGTACTGCAGCCTAGCTAGTCATTCCCCAGTGCATAAGTCTGTTATGTTCTAAGTGCAAGACCTTGTATTTGTCCTTACTGAATGTAATTTGATTCACTTTAGACCATTCCTCCAATTTATCAAGGGCATTCTGAATCTTAACTCTAGCCCCCAGAATGTATGCAGAAATTCTCTGTGCAACCCTAATGTAGCCCAGTTGTGCCTTCCTATGTTTCTATATGTAAGATATCTAGTAACATATTCTGTCATTATGGGATCACACACTTTTTTTCTTTCTTTCCATAGGACTTCAGCCTCATTGGGCATGTCCAGATGAGCGCGCACATGCCTCTTGCCCCGTCTCAAACCCCTTTGAGGTGGGGCAAGAGGCACATGTGGGAATGAAAAAATGTTCCCCGTGCTGCGAGTTTGCAGCGTGGGGAGAAAATTAGACCACTGGATATCCAGGGGTCTAAAAAACCACTCCGCAGAAAAGCAGAGCAAGGCACAGCCCCAGACCATGCCAGGGAGTCAGTTCTCCAAAAGAAATGCTCTGGTGTCAGCCAGAGCATCTCTTTTGTTCTCCTGCTGCCTCAGCCCCTGGTGCCGTCCAAGGTAAGTGGGGGGCGGGGAGTTGCAGGGGGATGTGGGGGTTTTGGGGAGTGGTAGGGGGGATGTCCCCAGGGCTTTGGGTGGTATGAACCCAGCCAAGCCCCGTGAGGCTCACTAGTCCAGCTTTGCACTGGAGCAAGTCACAGGGCTCCGGGAGGCATGCACAGGACCTGTGCCTCCCGTAGCCCTGTGACCTGCTTGTGTAGAAAGCCAGACTAATGAGCCACACGGGGCTGGCCC